GATCAAAGAAATTTGGGGACATTATTTTAGAACATCAAGCCGTAAATCAATGCCTAGCCTGGCATTCAGGACCCTTCCCCCATCGTTCACACCAAGTTCTCTGTCCACTGAAACTTAATCTCAAACTTTGCCTTTGGGTCTTGGGTTTTGATTCATGCTGACAACAAAAACTCCCAACCTGAGGTGTGGAAAGAGAAGAAACTTTATTCAGGTGAACAGTTTGCAAACTGGGGAAATGCAACCTCTGATAGAAACTGAAACTTTGCTTCATCGAGACAAAGGAGAGGCTGGCTTTTATAAAGTTCCCACCCCGGTTCCCAGTTGGTCCATATTTATTCAGATCCTCACAGTTTGGAGTGGTTCTCAGTTGGTCCATTTTTATCCAAATCTGCACATTTCTGAGTGGTCCAAATCGCACAGTCCTCATTAGCGGGCATCATGCATTCTGATTGGTTGTCATGGAGCAGTTCTGATTGGTCAGTATAAACGCAGCGAAGATAGAGTTGTGCAGTTCCGATTGGCTGGGGCAGGTCGTAGCCCATTGGTTGAAAGACGGACCTCCTTCATAAGGATTGGCTCGGCAGTCTGCAGGAGCACATTGCAGGAAGCTGGCACCTCAGCTCAGTCTGTGGCTTTTCCTTGAAATGCAGAATGTATTAGAGGCCTCTGTCAGCACTGGCTGCTTGACTTTGGCTATGAATTTGTGCTCTGTTAACCAGGAGGAGTCGTCCTTGGCAGGTATATTCCTTCTAGAGCTTCACAGTTCCCTATCCATTTGCCCTGAACACGGCACACCTCTGTGTGTGTGTGGGGGGGGGAGGGGATATAAAGCCTGGCTTTGGAGCCAAGATTTAAAGGCATGAGTCTCGCTTCTGCCACTTATTAGCTGTTGGACCTATGGAAAGTTTCTTAGTCATACCTCTGAGCCTCAGTTTTCTCCTCTGAAAAATGGGAATAACAACCTTACTTGTTAGGAGGCTTAAAGGAGACAATGTGTATCAGGTGCTTGGTGTTGCCAGTCGGGGCTCAAAAAGTGTTGTTATCCTCAGCGTCACGATTATTTACCTGATTATTTAACGATGCAGATTCGACTTGATTTTCAAGGACTAGCGCTGGAATACTCCTGATTTGTGCTCTCTCTGTTCTAACCATCCTTCTCCCAACTTGGAAAGCTTTTGTCTGTAGAGCTAACGCACTACGTCCTTGCTTACTGCTTTATGTTATTCATCAGCTTTGCTAGCGTTTGCATCATTGCTCACTACTCTGGGACCAGCTGTATCTCATGCGGGGTTCATGGGATTGCTGATGGTTCTCAGGTGCAGAGGGTTGAATGACTCCTACTCCCCAGGCAGCAGCTCATTATTACCTCCAGGCCTTACGAGGCCCTTCTCTTGTCTTATTTCCTTTTCCCCTTTATCCCTATTCCCTACTCCTGTCATCTCTCAGAGGGGCTAACTTTTTATGCGTTTGGAATACCCTTAAACATGCTTTTATCCTTGTAAACGATGTCGTGGTGCTTTGTTAATTTACATGATTTTGTTATTGTTAATTTACATAAAGTGGTATTATACTAAAATGTCTTATTTTCGTATGTTTTTTTTCCCTTACAAAGCTATGTTTGTAAAGCTGTATCCACATTGCCGTATGGACCGTACATCTGTTTGGGTGTTTCTAAATGCTACAGACAATTCCTTAATATGCATTAGCTACATTCTATGTATTAAATCCCCCGGTAATGGACACAAACTTTCCTTCTAACTCCTTATACAATGCCACGATGGGCTTCCTTGTCCCTCATGGACAAGTTGTAAGAATCCTAAGGATGGGATGTGTCCATTATGGGTCTGTGTGGTTCTTTCTCTGAGATACAGATCTAGGAATGGGATTGCCAGGTTCTAGGGTAGAAACATACTCAGCTCAGCGAAATCCTCGTAGCTCATGAGCTTTATTCTCCCTCACCCTGGTACAAGCAATAGCCCTGACTGCGGGACTCAGGAAGCTTCTGTTCAATTTTGATTGTGCTACCTTAGGCTCCCAAAGGTGTTTACATACTGAGGCCAAAGGCAGCGTCTCTGAAGATGCCCCATTGTGTTTATTTCTATGCAGGACAGTCCCCTGACCAGCCAAAGAGCAGCCCATGCACAGAGAGGGTCATTTTTATTATCCCTGCCAGCGAGTCCTTCATTATACATACAGGACCCCATCTTAGGAGCTATGGTGTTAGAATAAGCAATGGGCTTTCTTACCGGAGAGATTAGGCAACATCTTACCAGGTAGGATTTTGTCGGTAGAAAACTCTATCTTGGCTCAGGCTAGTGGTTCTTTGGAAGCTAACTGAGACTAAAATCCAGCTTCATATCCCATCCCATCCGCGTATTAGCATGTCTTTCACAACTTGCCAAGGAGACTTGGCTTTTCGTTGATGCTTTGTAATTGGTGGGTGAAGTAGTGCTTTTTGGTATCATATTACAGCTGCAAGATCTTTTGCTTAAATCCACAGGAATGGGACATTCGCTCCCTTGAAATGTATAAGAGGGTGCTTTTTCCATCTAGCTTCTGGATTTCCGAGCACGTCATTCACTCTGCCTCCAATCCCCTCCTCCATTTTGCTTCAGGCTAGCTTCTGTTTGTCCTTAAAAAGTCAGCCCAGGTGCCATTGTTTTTCTACAAACCTTCCTGACCTTATATTCTTCTAGAACCAAGTGCTTATCTCCATTTTAGCATTGATTAATCTGTAATTGTCTGAGTGTCCCCTTTAAGCCACCGGTAAGCCCCTGAGGGCAGGACTGTGTCTGGTTATTTCAGGAAGGTTTTTCCTGACCAGATCCTTCCCCTTCTCTGGGTTTCCCTCAATCTACTGACCCTGGATCAGAATCATCCATTCAGCTATCTCCATCTAGCCTGCAATTTTCTTGCTTCTCTTTGTGTCTGAGCACCTTGTGTCCTAATGCTTGACCCATTGTAGGCAGGTGTCCAGTTTGGCCTGGTTGGCCTGAGACTATCCTGGGTTTAAAATGAAAGTATTCCTTTTCTTTGTTTGTTTGTTTCTTTCTTTTTTAAAGGTATTTTTCAGTTGCTTTTTTTTTATTAGTTTCAGGTGTACAAACAAAACAATGTAATAGACATTTACGCCCCTCACCAAGTGATAACGCCCCTCCCCCAATCTGCTACCCCTCTGACATTGTACAGTAATACCTTGGTTTGTAAGCATAATTTGTCCCAGAAACAAGCTACTCGTATTGCAAGACGTTGCTCGTTTACCACGTTAAAATGTCTTAGAAGTGTTTGCTCATCTTGCAGAACGCTTGCAAACCACATTACTCGCAATGCAAGGTTTTACTGTATATAGGTGTTATAGTTGAACTGACTCTATTCCTTATACTGTACACCATATCCTGTGAATATATATATATATAGGGTTGTCGGAAAAGTCATGACACATTTTTCTATGTTTTTCGTTGCAACAATGCGTCATGACTTTTCTGACAACCCAATATATATATTAAATTATAGTTGACATTCGTTATTATTCAGCTTCAGGTGTACACTGCAGTGGTCAGGCATCTACACCGTCCATGAAGTGGTCTCCCTAAAAAGACAAGTGTCCATCTGATACCCTACAAAATCTTTACAACATTAATTATATTCCCCCACCTGTCTTTCATATCCCTGTGGCAAAATTGCGGTTACTAATTTGTGATTTTGAACCCCCTCCCCTTCTTCCTCGTCCCCACCCCCTCCCATCCAGCAACCTCAGCTTTTTCTTTATATCTCTGAGACTGTTTCTGATTAGTTTGTTCATTCTATTCTTTAGATTCCACATATAAGTGAGATTAAAAAAAAAAGGTTCTCACAGCTGCACTGTTGGGTATACACCTGAAAACACTGAAAACTGACACCCAAACACATATAGGAAAATGCATGTTTGTAGCAGCCAAAGGGTGGAAATGGCTTATATGCTCATCAACTAATGAATGGATAAATGAAGTGTGCTATACCCATACAGTGCAATATTATTTAGCCATAAAAAGCAATGACGTACTGATACTCCAATGTCGATGGACCTCAAAAACTTATGCTAAATCAATGGAGCCAGGCAGAAAAAAGTCACATTTTGTAGGATTCCATTTGTATCAAATGTTGAGAACAGTCAAATCCACAGAGACGGAGCACAGATTGGTTTCCAGGGGATGGAAGTGGGGAGAGAATGGAAAGTGACTGCCGGATGAGTACAGAGCTTTCTTATGGGGTGGTGGAAATATTTTGGAACTAGGTGGGGGTGGGGGTTGTACAACATTGTAAATACACTAAAGGCCGCCGAGTTGTACACTTTAACATGTTTCGTTTTATGGTATGTAAATTTCATCCCAAGAAAATGAACGAGTAAACAAACAAAAAAATAGAAGTCTGGCAAACGAGGATGGTTGGTCCCCGTGACTGTAGGGTCTGTGCTTGTCTATTAGGGAGAGAGGAAAGGAATGTCACTTCCTTAGTGAAGTCAAACCCAAGACTTTTCAAAGCTTTTAAAGTAGAATCTGCCGGTGTGGGTGGAAGGCCATGCCATGCGAACTTCCCGCAACTTGACCTTCCTTTTTGGTCTGCCCTGTCTGACAGGCACGGTGGCCTCCCACCTGGGTCCTGGGAGGCTCTGAGCATCCTCTCACACTCTGCCCTCCGCCAACAAAGGTCTCCTTGGTTCCCCACAGCCCAGGGGAGTAGCTTGAACCTTTAAAGACAGGCTTTATTCCATTCTAGAGGATAATAAAAGAGAAACAGACAGCATGAGTCTAAGAGGGCGTTCCATAGCACAGGTTTGTCTTACCCTGCTTACCGTACTGGGGCAGGTGTGCAGGCTCAGGCCTACCCCATTATCCCAGGGGAAAAAAAAATAAAGGACATGCACTGGAAATTTCCAACACTGACTCCTGTAATTATGCAAATTAGAATAAGCCAATTAGAAAAGAAGCAAATTGGAAAAGCTCTCCTCCTTTCTCTTTCAGGCTGGATTTCCCGACCTCCAGAGAGCAAGGCCCTGATGGAACCTCCAACACCGTCAGCATGTGCGCGTGGGGGTAAGTGGAGGCACCGCCGACTCTTTTAACATCTTTGAGACACAAAGGAAGTTCCAGGGGAGGAGCCTCAGGCGCTATGGAAAGAGATTTCACTTTATAAGACTTGACTTTATATCTTTACATTGGTAGAGAGACTGGGAGTGAGAGGTAAAGACCCTAGAATGAGAACCGGTGTGAGACTCATGGATTCTGGAGAGAGCGGAGATCTGGGGCCTCGGGGGCTGGGAGGGCTCCTGCCAGCATGGAGGACACGGCTGGTTTTCCCGCTCCTAGGAGGGCCACAGGCATCAAGTTCTCACTGCCCTTGAAGCTGGACGAGTGCTGGCCTCTGCCAGACACCTGCTGGCACATCCACCAGGGAGAGCGGGGCTGTGTCTTCCATCACTCTCGGGATTGCTTCTGATCAGGGGACCACAGCAGCAGATACAGGAGCCAGCCTAGCCCAGCAGATGCGAGATCTGCAGATAGCTTTGTCAATATATACATATATTAGAAACGAGTAACTAACAATGAGCTAATATGTTTACAGGGTCCTTGCTATGTACCTATAACTGCATCAGCACTCTGATTTATCTTGTATTTTAATTATTTAAGTCTTTTCATCTTCATGACAATTCTTGGAGCATGAACGCACTTGCTCAGTATTGCACAGCTGGTGGGTAGAGCAGCTAAGCTGAGGGTCAAACACAGACCTGCCTGACGCCTGATGTCCTGACGTAAAATGGGTGTGCTCGGGTCCCTACTTTGCCAGCTGAACTGCAGTTTTTTTTTATAACCACCGCCTTTTTATCCTTTTAATACCATCATGGGCCTGGGCTTGAGCCACTTTCCGGATTAGCTCCTGCCCACACCAGGGTCCTTGGAGGCTAGAAAGCTGACCATCCCTGCCTAGCTCTTGAAAATCCCTTTTCCTTGGAGGCTGGACCCTGTTTCTCTCAGACCTGGCTTTTGAAGGTGATGTCTGAGGATGACACTGTATCTGAGGTGATGATCACCCCCAAGTCAGTCTTGACTGGGGGATACCAGGTCATTCTCCCAGGCCCAGCTCTGCTATATGACACTTCTTTTCACCACCATTCCGACCCTAAGATTCTCACCAAGCCTCAGGACTTCCCAGATCAAAGCTAATGCTCCCCTTAGGCCATCGCAAAAGCACAAGACTGCTAGCTCCATCCGCAGTCCAAGTGGTTGAGAATGCTGCCTGTGTGCCTCTTAGACTGTTGTGAACTGTCTTGTGCACCAATGTTTTGGACGGCCAGATGTTAAGACAGATAGAAATATGAGTAAAACATCGTCCCTGCTACCAAGAACTTGCAAACTTTTCAGGGAAACGTGAGAAATTAAATAACAAACGATGTAACATCCTCAGACGGGAAATAAGAAATGTGTGAGGCAGCAGTCCTTGGACTGTTGCTTGTGTCTGTTAGGTGGTGGGATTTTCTTCATCCTTGAAGTTTACCAGGCGTTTTCCCAGATGACGCGTAAGTCTGTCTCAGTTTCTTCATCTTGTCTGGAGCTCAGTGAAGTCTCTCGATTTGAAGATTCAGAGACTTTGCATCCACTTAAGAAATGTTTTACTTTTCTATTATTTGTTCCATTTCTAACTCCCCTATTTCTGTTCCTTTCTTGCTTTGTGAAACTGGTGTCAGGGCTCCTGGATCCCTTCGAGTCTCTTATCTTTTCCCAGGAGCGGTCCTTCTCTTGGCGATTTCGCTTGTTCGATGTATTTCTTCTTCCTGGTCTTCCAGGTCACTACGGATCTTCTCATTCCGTTCATCTGTTTAATGTTTTAGTTGGCAGGCTAAAGATAGGGAATCCACAGAAAGAGAGCAAGTAATATTGGCATATGGTTAGATGGATAGATAGACGGATAGACAGACAGACAGATAGAAAGGCTATGAGATGTACAAATACAGGACTAAGGGGTGCCTGAGGCAGGGTCAGTCCCTTCCGTCATAACACCTGCCACAAGCTTGTTGGGCCCGAAATTGGGCTATGGCTTTTGTGTATATTATCTCTTTATTTATCACAGTAGCCTAAGGAGGCAGGTCCTAAATTTAAGGCTTAGTGAGATTAAGTAACTTGCCCAGGGACACAGAATTTGTAAGGGGCTCATGTGCGATTCTCACCCAGTCATGTCACTGCTCTCCTCAAAAATCCTCAAATCACGTCCCTTCACCCTCAAAACATAATCGAAATCCTTTACCCGGCCTACAAGGCCCTACACAGCCAGGTCCCTCCTGAACCTCACCTATACCGTCTCCCTCTAGCCTGACATGCTCCAGCCCACCTCATGTTCTTACCGTTTCCCAGACCCTCCAGCTTGTCCATATTCAAAGCCCTTGTCCTCCATGTTACTTTTCCTGTAAATGCTTTTCCTTCAGAATGGTGTGATTGTCTCTTTGTAGTTCTCAGAGAGGCCTTTCCAGAGCACCCGAGCTCCCCAGTTATACCCTATCGTCTAGGCCAGGGTTTATTTCTTTTCTTCCTGGCACATATCACCTGTGGTGTTTTCTTTCATTACCTCCTTGTAGAGTGACCGCCCATGACAGCAACACCTACTCTGTCTGTCTCATGTACCACACTTAGGACAACCCCACTTCATGGTTGGCTCCTGATAGAAGATGTCCATTGAGTGAAAGAATAAATATTAGGTCCTAGAATTGGACGTTGAGGGGATTTTAGAGCTGAAAGCATAGGGGTGGGGGTGGAGGGAGAGAGAGAAAGAGCAGGAGAGAGACAATTCATCAGGAAGATCAAATGTGACTGGAGAATAAGTTGCATGTTGGACAGCAGCACAGTTCGAAAGGTACATTTGCAATAGGTAGGGGTCATCTCTATTCCTCTCTGAGCCTTAGCCCCAAATGTCAGGCTCAAGGGTTTGAACTTGATTTGCTAAAGTGCGATTTTGGCAAAGGAAGTAAGCCTGTGAAAAAGAAAGTTTATATAGTTTTGGCATGTGAGTAATTGCTCCCAGTGTTTTAAAAATATCTTAGGAAATCTTGAATGGAAAGACTGCTTTGCTTTTTTGGACATTTTCATGGGCCATGCACCACTCCCTTGTATTGGTGGAAGAGTCAGGGGCAAAGGTAACGCCAGGTCTGTCTGGTCCCACGGAACGGACCACGTGTGGTGGGGTAACACGCTGCTTGTCCACGGTGCCCAGGCCAGAATTCAAGTACGGAAGGCCATGCTTCAGGGAGGTCACCTGAGCTTGACCTTGTCCAAACCTTGGAGGGAGAGCTAAAGTTTAATTAAGGGGAACTGGAGTCAAGCCCTGTTATGAGGAAGAGGCCAGGTTACTCCTGGGGTTTGTAGGACAATAGCAACATTGTGTTGACTCAGGAGTACATGCAGTTATGCAAAAAAGAGAGGCACATCCACTCCCTGGGAGGGGAGAGGGCTTTTTTAGGAGTGAAGAGTGCCTTACCTCTGGAAAGTCTTTCTTCCCACCCTGATTTGCATGTAGTTCTTCCTTGGAGGCCCTGGCCTTGGAGTATTTTCCCTAAGTCCGTGTTTCTCAGGTCTTTCCATTAAAGGTACCACCCACTGGGAAGAGCCCGATACAGTTTGTCCCAAGCATGACATGTCTCACAATATTGTTACGTTTATCTGAAAAGTATGTGGACTTTACATTCTACATTCATGTCTATTTTAATACCAAATAATGCTTAAAATGATCATCAGCTAAATTATCTTTCTCTCTAAGCAAATTGTTGGATAAAATGGATTTTGTTGGGAAAACGTGGTCTGGGTACCCTGAGGCTTATGTGACTCCATGCTCCGTGGGCAGAGTCAGCAAAAAAGAGTGATTCTAAGTAGCTATTGGCTCCAGGGGTCCGTGGAACTGCTGGGGGGTTTTGTGCTGCCTGAACTTGGCCACTGTGTCCACCAACTGACCGGAACTATTCCCAGATGGAGAGGGCTGGCTCATTTCCTGGGAGTTGAGAACCGTGAAATGGCAGTGGGAGAAACACTGGACCCGGTTGGTGCTCATCAGTGTCTTTGTTTATGAGTGTAGACGGGGCTGACAGATGCCTCACATTAGCATTATTTAGACATTAAGAGATTCTAATTGGATACTAACATGTGTCCTCATCACAGTTGACCTTATTTATGGAGTGGCTGACATCTGAATGTCAAATTTGCATCAGTGAATTCTCTCCTCTAATAACCACTTTAATATGTAAATAACTGATTTGCGGCAGGGTAACATATACGTGATGTTCTGATGATTGCTTGGAAGAGGTGGCTTCCTTCCGTACACAGAGATGGGAGGGCTCATCGGTCCCTCCTCCCTTTGACTGTGGGACATTGGCTAAATGACTGAGCCAGAAAGAAACACACACGTTACCCCAAATTGGCAGATACGCAGTGAGTTCCTCGCTAAGTGCTGGCGGAGAACAAGGTGGGGGAGATAGGTTCTGCCCCCCAGAAAACGTGACACTGTGATAAGGTGGACTAAGAAAGAGGCACAAATCAGTACATTTCACAGTGTCATATGATATAAAGCTGTAAGGGAGAAGTACAAGCAACTCTCTTTTGCAGTTATCTCATTTGGGGGACACATGAAAAGGTGTATTGAATACGGATGGGATTAACTCCCAAACCCAGCAGGCCCTGTGACTGCGACTTTAAATGGACAGGTGAGGGTCAGCTCAGGCCATGAGAAGTCTTAGGCAGCTGGTGCAGGGCAGGCACGGGAGTTCATCAGGCCCCCAGGAACTCAGGCTCTTTCTAGCTTTTCCATTTCACCAGCCTTAGAGTGGAGGCCTTAGCACTGTGCTTGTTGCCTCATGGTTGCAAAACGGCTGCTTCACCTCCCAGCCTCGGATCCACATTCTAGGCAGGAAAAAGGAAGTGGGAGGGGCAAAGAAGGAGACCATCTCAAGAGTTTTTTTTTTTTTTAAATCTGGAAGAATAGCCCTTCTCGGCGAATTTATGACTATATCTATATCTTATTGGCCAGCACTGTCACAGCCAGCCATAGCTGGAGGAAA